ACAGCTGCAGCTGTGAGGCTTATCTCCTGCTTTCCCAGGCTTGGGTGCATTCCTAGCTGTTTTTCTCGAACCTGTTTGTTTCACCCTCAAGGACGAGTTAACCCCTGCCATCTGCCATCTGCCCAGCTGAGTTACTCCCTATCTATCTATATAAGTTACTATCTCCAGAGCCTTGCTTGTGCACACTGCATTCCCAGATGCGTTCTCAGGACTGTGTCTGTACGTTCCCAGGGGACTGCGGCCTAGCTCTTTTTGGCCTTCCCCAGGATTATATCCCTGCTCTCTGAGCCATTCTCCAACATACTGCTTTTCTTACTTCTAAACTCTCCAGCAGATATGCCTTAATTGAACTTGTGTCATCAGTTGCTAAGCTGTTTGTGATACTTTGTAGACTTAGCTCAAAATTAAGACTTAAATGAAAAAGCTAACTAGGTGCTTGCACAACTTTAATTCACTCTGCTTTGAAGAACAGGTGTGTTTTGTTGCCTGATCTGCCTTTGAACTACGTGATATAAGAACTATTCAAATGGTCTCTGCATTCCGGTCTTTAAAAGAAGAAACACCAAGTTTCCTAAGTCCTTCCCTTGTAGGGATTTGATGTGTTGCATGTTAAGCTTTGTGGGGTGTATCTATCATCTGGCAACTTTGTTCCATAAGGTTTTTGAGGGGTTAGCTGAGTCATATCAAGCATGAGGTTTTGTAATACAGTGCAATCATGAATAGTAGCCAATAGTATTTAATCACAGCTTAATTTATTATTGTTCTTTTCTCTGGTGCTTTGTGCAATTTTAAAACTAAAGCATTAAAATCTGCTATTCAACATACTATGAATGGTAGCAGTGCAGGGTAAATTAATAAACCCCCAACTTTAATGCTTTCTTAAAATGGAGCAGCATTTCTACACACACCAGCCGTGTGCAAGGCTCCAGCTGGAGTCTGTCCAGTGGTGGCTAAAGAAACTAAGCGCCTTTTCTTGCTTAAGTATAGCCAGTTCAAGATACAGAATATATTTAAAATGTATGCCCCATAGATTGAATCGCAGTAAGAAATCTAACATGAGAAAGCAAAATAAAAAGGTATTTAAAGTACATCTGCAAAATATTAGGAACGCGAGTGACTGTGTTCACATGAAAAGGGTCTTTCCTGAAATACAGGGCTAATGAAATTTCCATTTGTGTTTTGAAAAAGACCTTTGTGGAGCTCCTGGGATGTTAATTAATACTCTGGAAATACTTAGAAACAAAGCTATTCATTAGCTTCATAAAAGGAAAGCGATGAAAATGCAGGAAACTAATTGTATTGTTGCACGTAGTTTCCTTTCCAGTTTTTTTTTCATATCTTAATTTGGTTTTGTGTTTTGAAAGCTTTGAAAAGTGTATTTGGAAAAAAAAGAAAATGGAAAAAGTCATTGATGTGGTGTTTTTAAAAAATCAATTGCAAAATTTATGTTTTGGTATTGGAATAAAGTGTCTTAAATATTCTATTCCTTTTTGAACTAGAGAAATACCAATCCATTGTAGTCATACCATTCAAAGTTAGTGTGTTAACAGTATGTTTTCGGGTGTGTATTGCCTTACTACTAAATAATCCTCTGTTGAAGTTCTGCTTCTGTGATACGGAGGATGATTTTGGTGATTTGCCTGAGTGGCTGCTAATATATGGGGTAGTACTCTACGGCACCTGTTATGCTGTGCTCTGTATGTCCTTTGGAAAATCATCTAACTGAGGTTTTCCAAATAGTCTAAAGCACTTTGAAAATGAATGTGCATTGAGTATTCCTCCATGGTGAGGTGGGAGATATGTGGTTTAGTAGTTTGAGCATTTGCCATTTTGTCAATGTATCCTGCTCACGTATTTGTTACATGCTAAGTATTTTAATGCCACTGTTCTTGAAACAGCACTGATGAAGACGTGAAAATGTAAACTGAGGCAAATGGTATTCAATTTTAATGTAATTTGTATTCAATTGCATAAACCGTAAAGGGGTATTTTCCTAATTAACAGATTGAGTGAAACAGTATTGATTAAAATTTGGCAGGGACACCAAGTTAGTATCTCACCTCTTGTCATGTAAGATCTTTAATGAACAGGCACAACTGGTCTGTGTTTCTTTGTCTTCTTCTCTCTGAAGAATTCAGAGCCCCTCACTTGAACATCTTGAGATAGTATCAGTTCTAAGCATCTCAGAAAAGTGACACACATTAGCATACGTCAGTTCTAATACAGCTGTTACTAGCTATTTATTAGTTAATCATGTATATTCCAATGGAATTCCCATTTTGACAGTGTTTCTTTTCTCCTGATCAGGAAAAAGAAGAGTTGATTGAAGAATGGCAGCCAGAGCCTCTGGTTCCTCCTGTGCCGAAAGATCACCCAGCTCTCAATTACAACATTGTTTCAGGGTAAATGTAGCTAAAATAAATTCTGGGGTTTATTTTAGCTGAAATACTTGATGTCCTTGTACTAAGCATTTCCATATGCTTGAAACTTTTCATAAATAAATTGTATTTTTAGAGAGCAGGACTGAATTTGCCACTGAAGAGATGGTCTTGGGTTTGCAACATTATTAAGACTATCTTACTAATTTTTTTAATTTTTTTTTTTTTATATTGGAGGCAGAGGGAGGAATATTTATCTTTGCCTTCATTGTGGGTCTGTACTGTTTGGTGGTAATTTGTTCCATTTTTTCTGAATATGTGGACTTAGACATCCAAAAGTGGTTACCATCTTCTTGTGTCATCACAAATCACTTCAGAAGAAATTCATTTTGTGTCTAGCCACTTAGCATTTCATGAAAAATTGTTCTTTTGAGACAACCAGAATTTGAAATGCTGCATGGTAAAGCTGTGTTGAGAGGAAATTATGGCTCAGCATTACTTTCTTGTGTGTTACAACACTTTTAAAAATGTGTGCTGACCTAGGCAAGAGTCAGAGTATCTCAGAAATTGCTTTCAGATATCTTTCACAAGCTTCAGATTTGTGTGTCAGTAACTTGTACAATATAAGCATTCTTAATATCCTTCTCATTACAGTAATCATTTGAAATAATTTAGTGACAGAGCACAATTATTTGCTGTCAGAGAGAGCTCCATTTTGATGGCTCTGCCACCACAGAAATGTCTGCCATAGAAAGGGAATGCCCGTTTTAATCAACAGTGATGTGAGCAATCCTTCAGTTACTGTTCAGAAGTTTGAAACAAGTAGTTCTGTGGAGTTAAAGAAAGTGCTGGATGTTGAAAAAAACCTGAACAAATATATCTTTTAGAATTATTGAGAAAATGTTATAATTATTTAGAACTTTCCAGTCCTTACAGCTCGGAAATGTTTTGTGACAAAATGTTAATGTCTTGTGGCTGGTT